AACTCGTTGAGTTGTTCTAAATGTGATTCAAAGGTGAGTAGTTCAGCTTGTAACTCAACCTATGAGAGGTCAAGTAGCTAACACACTATGGGATTATAGTCAGTATCCAAACCTGTAAGTACTAAGATATTAAATCAATAGATGAGATAGGATTACTAGCAAGTTGCAAGTTGTTAAAGATGGTTTCATCTTGGCAGATAATCGTCCATTGACATGGATCCTTTTCGTGTTCATTGAATTCATTTGAAGCAGTGTAACAGGGCTTAATTATGTAATTGTAAGATCTTTTGTAGCTTTCCCAAAGCTCAAAAGACATTGAGCAATGAACAAGTGGTAGCTACTTCAGGGGTTTGTTGTATATAGCCATCTAAGGAAGAACTGTGTTGGTGGCAAGCCAAGTCATTGAAAGAAGGATTAGTAGTGGTGGTCTCGAAATCTTTGTCTGTGATGAACTTTGCTGGGCATGGAGATTACCAGTGATAAAGCCTCAAGACGATTGTCTATGAATATGGGCAGAATAGTGCATTGCCACAGGGTGATAGTTCGTCTGTCCAGCTTGACAGATGTTGAGGAAGAGCTAGAAGCTACAGAGGGATGTAGCCTTTTAAATGCCGAGCTAGCAAGAATAGAGAGCTCTTGAGACTGATGGACTCATGGTGGCCTAGCCTTATGGCTCTGATGCCAAGAAAGAGAAAAACGAAAGTAAGGAATAAAACTGAGTGATTGATTATGGTGATCTATTCATTGACAGAGCCACAAGATATTTAATATGTATATTGAGAATATCTCATGATACTGTTGTTGCATGATTACAATCTATATATCATATTGATATCCTAAGATTCTAATTTGAACCAGTCTGATATCATGTGTTGTTATGCATGCAGGTTTATTGTATTCAGCAAGAGAGGTGGATACTAATGATCTGCTAACATTTAAAACTCCTAATCACCATTTCAAACAAGCCTTAGTCTTTTGTTAAAACTTTCCAATCTATCTCATTAGAAGTAAATGCACAAACCAAAACTCCTTAATTTGGAATAGTTGGTGAGTTCTCTTTCAGGGCATGTTTAAGAACTGTCGCATCAAAAACCAATGAGCAGTGAATCTGACAAATTCTTGATGTGACCAAATCATCTAATGCAACCAAATATTTGTTTGCGACCAAAATTGGTGCCTATATACAAGTATAATGTGATGACAATAAATTAAGTATATGATCATTAAATCAAATCGACAATAAGCAGATAAGATGGAGTATGGGGATCGAAAGTAACTATGACCTCACAAATAATGAATGAAGAGAACCTTACCGGTAGACGTCGATTCCTTGTGCTTTGTATTCTAAAAAACCAATGCATTTTGAGCACATGTCCAAGGATCCTTGTGAAAAAGGACAACTATGTACTACCAATCCTTAATAAGATATCTAGATAATTGATATGGAGAGATTAAGAAAACTAAATAAATTATTTTAAAAAAAATATTTATATTATATTATTATTTTTTAAAATTAATTTGCGTGAATTATAAACTTATATATAATATGATGATACACATAAGTATTTCAAAAAGATTATGTAATGTAAGCTATAATTAAATAATTATTTAGTTTCATAATCTCTTCAAATTACTTGATTTGGTCTGATATATAGAAAAGAGTCAATATTAAAAGTTTGATGGCATTTTGTGCAAATGCATATATATGCATGTCAATTAGTGTATTAAGGAGCAAGAATTATTGGGGAGAATATAATATCAAAAGCTCTTGATTGCTCTGCTTCTAGACTCGATTAAATTATTTATAATTATATATAATGTTGAAGGAAATAGGGGATTTATTATCCAAAACAGATGTAGCTGTGAGAGTGTTCCTCAATCCTTGATTAAGTGCCATATTGTTTTGAACGTATTAACAATGCTATTATTTTGGGCATGACTAAGCAATAAATAATTATTACTTTCCTTCATAACAATTATTGTTCTGTGTGATGCTACAATTTAATGCCTTTTTTGCTAGATGTGCTACAATTTAATGATACATATTGATCATGATTATAAAATTGTGTACAAATTGGATTTATTTACAAGACAGATATCAAGTTGAATCACTTGATGAGGCTGCATTAGTCATTGCTATAAAGAAGTTTAGAGGTTACACATATTACTACTACAAAATTGTCGGTATATATGACTATATTAATTTTATGCATATGTGACAATTGAAAATTGTTACTAATAGACAATTATATATTCTCTAGGTCAAATACTTTATGGTAAAAAAAAGTCACATATTTAGCTTAGTATATAGGGTTGTTTACATCCAAAATCATTATGATTTATGTCTTTTGGTAAATGCATACAATCCCTTTAAACTATTAGGCTATTAATTAATGCTAAATATGAGAGGTTTTCATTTTGTTATTTCACTTTTTTTGGGGAATAAATGGTAAAAAAACCTAGGAAACTACCTATTTGGTGCTTCTTGAATATGTTTCTCATGTTTATTATAACCACTTATTTTCTTAATGTGTTGATTTATTTATTTTTTGACTTCAACACTCAGGAATATAAGATTGAGACAATAAGTACTAGGAACAATTAATGTTGCTGTTTTTTTGAAAATAAGGTATAGGTGATTCCAACCCACTCAAATACCATTAAGCATCTCATTCTACTCAACGTGAGACTTGGTATCCTATACTAGTACTATCAAGTCCCCATTATATTGACTACTTAATTGGGGAAAGAAGGCTACTACATACAATAATGTCAAGGATGGTTTTCTATTCTTAACACAATTCTACATGGAGATTTTAGGTGTATTGCTTTTCCTCAGAAACAACTGCTTCTTTTATGGAAAGTCTTCTACGATGCTCTGCTTATTTCAGATATTTTGCAGAAACATCATTTACAGTCTCATGTAATTGAATGTTTGGTTGGACTCCTTCAACACACATAAGAATTCTGCTTTGAATTTTCAAGATTTTATTAAAGCCTACTAGTTGAAATCCTTACTGATTCAACTCCACAAAGATGGTCATGATTTATTGATTCAAAACATCATTGCCATCATCAACACTACTCTTTGGCAAAAAAGGATAACATTGCTCTTGACGAAGGAAAGGTTTGGCATCCACGAGAGGTCATTAAGCAGATTAACAATTCCCTAATTGTTTTTCTCAAATTAATATAAGACTTAGTTTTGATGCTAAATATAAAATATTAATCCACTTTAATTGTCTCCCTAATTTTTTCTATCAATGAGAGTGATAATTTATCCAACAGTTTTTGGTCTTGCAGTGGATAAGCTGGATCACAAAATAAGTGAAGTGTTAGTTCGACCCTTCTTTGTTAACAAAAAGACTTACTTATTTGTTACAAATAAGTCACTTGACAAATTTTTTTTTAATATTTATATACTCTTCTGGTCCTAAATATAAGACCCATTTTGTAGTGTAAATTACACTACAAAATGGGTCTTATATTTAGGACTGGAAGAGTATTACTTATCTATCTCCTATATTCATGATTAGAGGGTTATATGGCTTGAGTGGAATGGGGAAATTAAACCAACACTACCTATATTAATGATATTAAAACTGAACTGCACTGAGACCACTGATGTTACCCCCTTCCAAAACTCTATTAAATTACACTCCACAGACCAAAATGCAGAAAAGAGATCAAACTCTCTCAATTATTACACTAAACTTCATACAGTAGTTTGGTACAACACAATCCTAATTCCGATTAAGTTCAAATAGTTTATGTTTACTTTGAGATGTAATGCTCCTAATGCCTAAGTTTGGAATACTTGGCGAGTTCTCTTTTGCGAATCTTAAGAAACTGTCTCATCAAAAACTAATTCAGGAGTGAATCTGGAATCCTTCGTATCAAAAGGCATTGTAGAGTCTTAAAGAGGCAAGCCACACACATACTCTCATTGTAACCAAACCATCTGATGCAACTTTTGCTATATGCCTCTACGCTTGGAATGAACTTAGACGCCTTCTTCAGATATGGTTTTGTCATCTTTGTTGCTACCAAAAGCTGTACCTATAAATGTATAAATATGATAATAATAATGATAATAATAAATATGTGGCTATTAAATCAAATGGGTAATTAAGTGAATGGATAATACTATCTTCGATCCTTAATATAAGAGCTAGTTGGAGGGGTTAGATTTGGTCCTAATACATGTTCTCAATCTAAAATTTATAATTTTCTCCCCAAAATATCCCTATTGATTATGCATGTTGAGGAGTTCTAACAAAAGGTAGTTCTAATACACATAATTAAAAAGGATAACTTGGAGAAGTCAACACACATTTTGTGGAAATAACCAACTTAACTAATTTCTTTAATATCATCAAATTAGTTATTTACCTCTTATATTAAGGACAAGGGGTAGTATATATTAGTATCGAATTAAATGCTCTTTTGGTCCTTAATGTAGGACCTAATTAGGAAATTAACATTAGTTCCATATGTAAGACCTATGTTACATGTTTATTAATTTTTTTCCAAATTAACCTTGTTGATATTCTTCCAACAATAAAGTAGAAGAGGGGGGTAGGGAATTAAGAAGAATGTTTAGAGTGTTTTAGAAAAAATATATCATATTAACTAATTTAATTAACATATTTAATCTATTCGAATTAATTAATTAGGTTTATATTAAGGACCAGAGGAGTATATGTATTATGAAATAATGAAGTAAGCTAAGAGAACCTGACACTGGACGTCCATTCTGACACTAGACGTCCATTCCTTGTGCCTTGTTTTCTAAACCAATGCATTTTGAGAACATCTAAAAGTATATGTGAAAATGACAGAAAATATGTTGAAGCCATTAAATAGGGTAAAAAACTTTTTGAGTATTTGGAGATTTTAGAAAATAAACATACGCTTTTGTAGCAGCATAGAGAGTATAGAGAGGAAAGGAAGGAACCACAAAACAAGAAGCAAAACCAATGCTGATGATGGCTCCTTTTTTCTTTCTGATCATTCCCTTAATCACACCCCTTGTGACCCACGTTATTGCTTCCACATTCACTTTGATAATGGCTTCATGTAGAAAATAGGATAATTTATTTTCTGAATGTAGTTGTAGATGTTAGTAAAACGCTATGCTTAGGCTTAGGCTTACTTAGCCTTTCCTTGTATTCTGGACGTGTATAAATATTAGGCCCTGTTGGGATCCATGTGTGTGATTTTTTCCCATCAATCAATACAGATTTATGTTTCTGTGTATTTTAGGCTCAAATAGTCAGGGTCTTATGTTTCAACATGGCATCAAAGCTGATGGTTGAGATCCAGGGCTACCAAAGAGAGCCTAGCATAGCGAGCCCATCCATCATGCAAGACAGACAAGGTAACCAGATCTGATGGGGGAAGAGAAGATTGCCGCTGAAGGGATTCTCTTTTCACACCCGTTGTTCCTTCACCCGTCAGACACGCAAGGAATGACGATAATTCCTCACATTCTTATAGGCACAAAGAACTACACTGTCTACTCTCGTGCTATGAGGATCGCTTTCTTAGGGAAGCACAAATTAGGCTTCATCAATGGTACCTACAAGAAAGATGACCAAGAACAGCATTTGTAGCCTTAATGGGAGCAGTACAACATTGTCGTGCTGTCGTGGTTACTCAATTCCATATCTAAAGAACTGGGAAGTGGAATTGTTTTCTTTCATAAGGCATATGGCGTTTAGATCGAGCTTAAGGAACGATTTGACAAGAAGAGTGGATCACAGGTTTTTACATTGCACAGGGAGATCAACTCACTCAGACAAGGCTTAAACTCAGTCTCGGTGTATTTCTCAAAGATGAAGGAGCTGTGGGAGGAACAGGTAGCTCTGGTAGCAATTCTATCTTGCACCAAAGGCATGGCCAAGGCATACGCAGACGCCATCTAAGAACAGAGGTTATTTCAGTTCTTGATGGGCCTGAACGACGTTTTTGTACAAGCAAGAAGTCAAATTCTCCTCACGAATCTGCTTGTAAATGAAGCATACACCATGATCGTACATGATGAAACACAAAGGACCATTTCCTATAACGACAAGAGCCTCCCTATCAAAGGAGTTGGTATGACAGTAAGGAGGAGAGGACACAGATGAGGTTGAGGGCAAGGAGAAAATATCCCTGAATACACGCATTGCCATAAAAGGGGGCGCCTGAGGGAGAATTGCTTCCAACTTGTCAGCTACCCGCATAATTTCAAAGGGAACAGAGGAAAACAAGGAAGGGAATTTAATCAAGGGGGAGCTGAACCCTCAAGGGAGACAGACACTCATAGGCACACTGCCACTACCATAGCACCAACCTTCACACAAGAACAATATGAAAAGATTCTGGAGTTACTGAAGAAAGATACAGAACCTGCCATTCATGCTTTAACAGGTACAAGTTTGACTAGTCCTATATCTGATATTAAACCTTATACACACTGGATACTGGATTCTGGTGCCACCACTCACATGGATGGCAAATTAGAGTTATTCGATAAATATGAAACATATAATGGTCCAATTAAATCGTTTAAAATACCAAACGGAGATAGATTACCTGTTAGTCATATTGGAACTATGACTATTGCTGAAAACATAACCATACATGATGTTTTATACATACCTCAACTAGAATTTAATCTCATATCAATATCTAGATTCACAAAGGAACAAAATTGCATGGCTGCCTTCTTTCTTGACCTCTGTGTACTGCTTGGCCTTCAGGATGGGAGAATGAAGATGATTAGTAGAGAGTATAAAGGCCTATATGTACTGAAAGTGATGAATACTTCTAATGTTGTGAATGTAGTTCAAAATGAGAAAAGATTATTGAGAAAATGTGATACACAGTTATGGCATAGAAGATTAGGACATGCTCCTCTTTTAATGATAAAACATTTGGATGATATATGTACTGATGATCCTAATCTGAATAAAACTTTTGAACCATGTGATATCTGTGTGCAGTCTAAACAGACCAAATTTCCTTTTACTTCAGTGTTATTAAATCTGCTAAATGTTTTGATCTTGTTCAAGCTGATGTATGGGGACCATATCGAAACACTGCACATCATGGTTTTCATTTTTTTTTCTTAACTTTAGTGGATGATTATTCAAGGGGAACCTATATATTTTTGATGAGGCATAAAAGTGAAACTAAAACTCACGTTAAGAATTTTATTGCTTATGTTTTAACACAATTCTTGGTAACTGTAAAAAGAATTAGAAGTGACAATGGAACAGAGTTTACTAGTAGTCAACTGAGAAATTTTCTTCAATAAAGGGGGATAGTCTATCAAACTAGTTGCCCCTACACACCTGAACAAAAAAGGGTGGTAGAAAGGAAACATAGAACAATCATACAATTCATTAGGAGCCTTATATTACAATCTGGAATACCCATTAAGTATTGGGGAAAGTGTGTAAAAATGGCTGTTTTCTTGATTAATAGGGTCCCATAAAAAATTATTGACTATCAAACACCCTATGAACCAATTTATAGAGCTAAACCTGATTTCAGCAACCTGAAAACCTTTGGATGCCTTGCTTATGCTACAAATTTGAAAATTAGTGACAAACTTCAATCTAGATCTATTCCTAGCATATTTTTAGGATATCCTAAAAACCAAAAAGGATTTCTCCTACTTAATCTAAAAGAAAAGGTTATCTTTGTTAGTAGACATGTCATTTTTGTTGAACATAAATTTCCTTTTAAGGATATGAAAGATAATTTTCAAAAAGGAGTGTGTTGTGACTTAAAGTCAATGTTTTGGTTTGAACCAACAAACTTGGAAACTCAAAATTATGTTATACCTACACATTCTGAGACAAATCACACCAACAAGAATTCTGAGTCTAATGTAAACAATGAAGAACAAAATAATGTAGAAGATAATGTCATAGAGTCATTTCATCAAAGACCTGTCTATGAAAGGAGACCACTGATTTGGGCAAATGATTATGTCTGTTCTTTATTGCAAATTGACTTTGAATTCTCTGGATAGAATAAACAAAGCAAATGTAAATATCCTATTGATAGGTATCTTTCATATGCTTATATGTCAGCTGATTATGTGTTTTCTAACCTCTATTGATTCCAACAGTGAACCATCCAGCTATGAAAAAGCTGTACAAAATGAAAATTAGGTAAGTGCTATGAAGGCTGAAATGGAGGCTTTAGAAAATAATAAAACTTGGACATTAGTTCCTCATCCTAAAGGAAAGAGGCCTATTGGTTGCAAGTGGGTATATAAAATTAAATATAAATCTAATGGTAGTATAGAGAAATTTAAGACTAGGTTAGTAGCCAAAGGTTATAACCAAAGAGAGGGTATTGAGGTATTGATTATCATAACACTTTTTCACTAGTTGTAAAAATGTTTACTGTCAGAGTTGTCCTAAAATTATCTGCTGTTAATAAATGGAATTTATATCAAATGGATGTACACAGTGCTTTTCTGCAGGGAGATTTAAATGAGGAGGTTTACATGAAAATTCCTCTAGGTTTTGAAAGAGAGGGGGAGCAAATGATTTGTAGACTAAACAAGTCTCTTTATGGTTTGAAGCAGGCCTTAAGACAATGGAACCAAAAATCATCTGAGGCACTGCAGAAAGGGGGATTTAAACAAAGTAAATCAGACTATTTTCTCTTGTCAAACATTATAATGATGGAATTGTTTTGATCTTGGTTTATGTGGATGATTTATTGATAATTGGTAGTACTGAATTAGGAATTGATGAAACAAAAAGGTTTTTGCATAGTAATTTTAGAATTAAGGATCTTGGGCTAATGAAATACTTTCTAGGAATAGAAGTAGCTAAGTCTGAAAAGGGGATTGTTTTGTCTCAAAGGAAATACGTTTTAGACTTGCTATTTGAAACTGGTATGACAGGTTGTAAACCGCTGTCAGTCCCAATGGCACAAAGTTTGAAACTCTTTGCATATATGAGAAGAAGAACCATAAAGAAGACTTGCTCAGAGAACCAGAAAGATACAGAAAATTGATAGGTAAGCTGATTTATCTGACTATGACCAGGCCTGACATTTCTTATTCTATATAGACTCTAAGTCAATTCATGCAAGTACCAACTAAGGTGCATATGGCTGCTGCAAGAGGGGTTACACGGTACCTGAAAATAACCCCAGGACTGGGAATATTTAGCAGTTCGGAAGGAGAGCCAGTGTTGGAATGTTTTTGTGATTCTGATTAGGCATCCTGTGCTATGACTAGAAGGTCTGTCTTTGGATACTTGCTGAGACTAGGAGGGTCTCTGGTTGTGTTGAAGTCTAAGAAACAGAACACTGTTTCTAAGTCTTCAATAGAGGCAGAGTATAGGGCAATGAGCATGGCAACTTCCAAAGTCGTTTGGGCTGTCAACTTACTGAAGGATTTAGTCGTAATTCATAAGGGGCTAGTCAAGATGTACTGTGACAGCAAAGCTGCTATCCACATTGCAGCAAATCCAGTTTTCTGCGAGTGAATGAAGCACATAGAAATTGATTACCATTTCATCAGAGAAAAATGGAAATCGAAACTGATTGATTTGCATCACATAAGAAGTAACGACCAGGAAGCTGACCTCCTTACCAAGGCTGTAGGAGGAGATGTGCAGAAGAAGCTCTTATGCAAGCTAGGGACTACAGATATTTTCAAGCCCCAAACTTAAAGGGGAGTGTAGAAAATATGATAGTTTATTTTCTGTTCGTAGTTGTAGATATTAGTAAAACGTTGTGCTTAGGCTTAGGCTTACTTAGCCTTTCCTTGTATTCTTGGACGTCTATAAATATTGGGCTCTGTTGGGATCCATGTGTGTGATTTTTTCCCTTCAAGCAATACAGATTTATGTTTCTGTGTATTCTGGGCTCAAATGGTCAGGGTCTTGCATCTCAACACTTCAACAAACTCGAAGTCTTCTTCATGAGAGTACCTTGGATAAGGGTTTGCCATGTCTGTGTTATTCACCAACACGCCAATATCTAGGCCTTTTGTTGTTTCCTCCATCTTCTTCACTCTTTCTTCTCCATTAACTTTCTCAAAGTCTATCACCACAAGCTTCACTTCTACATGACTGCCATGTGTGTCTCTTATCTCCTTCGATGTCGCTTCAAGCTTTTTAGGGTTTTGACCAACAAGAAGGATGTTGGGTCCACTGGAAGCCAATTCCAAGGAAATGGCTTTACCGGTTCCATCGGTCGAACCAGTGATAATAGCCCCTGAACTGTAGGTTTTGAGGTTCTTGAGTGGCCTAAAAAACATAACCCACATCCACCTCGCAAAATGGATGAAAGTTTTTGAAAGACTGATGAATCCTAAGGAACATATTACCGTTAGGATGATTTCTGGCCACTCCGTTGCCATAACTCACAATATTTGAGCTCATTGAAATATCACTACTTTATAAATTCATGTGTGTGCCTTCCAAAGGCTTGTTATTAATTGATCATTGACTTTGATATATTTTAATTTTAATTGGGCAGAATATAAACGTCTTACATTTAAGAGAAGCTATCACTAGTTGTTGAGTGAAGCTTCGAAAGTACTATGTGCTATTTATAAATTTCAGTATTCATAAATGAAAGTATATAACGTAATCCATTGACAAAAATTGAATCATCTAAAAATATGTTTTGTAGGAAAAAGTTCATATTTCAATAACAGTTAGGTTAGCAAATTTACAAAAACTGATTGCTAATCACTTCCTACAATTTATAAATTAAGATGCTAATGTTTATATAATTATTTGAACTAATATGTGTAACTAGATTTTCAGCAAAATTTTGAAGCTTACTCTTACTTTAAATTGTTAATAAATTGATATTTGGAACCTTGACTGTCATTTCTCTTATTTCATATGCATAAACAATTTTATTTTGAAAACTGGAGAAAACATTCATGAAAGAAAAATGCGATTATTTTCTAAAACATAAGAAACGTTTGCGAAACAAAATGCAAGTCGCAATGTTTGTTACCCGATGGACCTAAAACTAAATACGGGCCCCTCCACGTACGATATGTCTAACATTAAATGCTAAATTAATGGAGCTCAGCCATACTTTAGAAGGAAAATGACAGTAAAATAATTTTTGAATTTCAAAATGATAAATAAGACATCTGAATAAACAAAATGACAAAGAAGGCATCAGGTACCAATCTGAAATTTTGATTTTGAATTTTACAAAACACATAGTGGGATTTACAGCTTTTATAGTGAGAGTTATTATTTCGTCAATGGGTTTTGTAACCTATTTTGAAGGCTAGGCAAGTTTTCTGTTGAAAAAAAAATAATTCCATGCTAAATTTTACAAGCACATAGTGGGATTTACAACTTTCATAGTGAGATTTGCTACTTGGTCAATGGGTTTTGCAACCTGTTTTGAGGGGTTGGGCAACTTTTCTATAAAAAACAATATAATTCCATGCTGAATTTTATAAAACATATAATGGAATTTACAACTTTTATAGTGAGAGTTATTACTTTGCCAATGGGTTTTGCAACATGTTTTGAGGCCAAAAATCAAAATTCCACATTGGTAACTGATGCCTTCTTTGTCATTTTGTTTATTCAGATTCCTTATTTGTCATTTTGAAATTTAGAAGGTATTTTATTGTCATTTTCCCTACTTTAAATGAGTTATTGTTAGGTAAATCTCCTTGCCAATTCTACTTTTATATTTATAAGTCAATCGAAGTAAAGAATTTTGTTTCTAAATAGTCTGATCCTATTTATAAGACATTTCTAATGTAACACCCCGAATTTTATGATTTAGGATGAGTAGAAAAGAGAGAAATTCATTAAAATTATTTATTTGCCAAATAAAGTGGGGAAAATTATGGAATATTGATTTTTAAGGTTTAGAGACATTTTGGAAAAGAGTATTTCCCCAAAAATGGCTTAAATAATTTTAATTGATAATTTTAAGAGAAAATAGTTTATTTTCTCTGAAAACAATGGAAAAATAGTTAGAGATTTATATTTAATCTGAAAATTTTAGGATGATCATTTGAGATAGTAAAGAAGATAGTTGAGGCATAAAATCCTTAAAATGGGTTAAGGATTAATTCCTGAAATTTAGAGCTATTTTCTTGAAAATTTCAGAAAAATAGTCAGGAGTTGATTTTTGATCTGAAATTCTTAGGAAAATTATTTTATGGGTCAAAGAAGCTAATGGATAAGAAAAATTCATTTATGATATTTTGGTTTAATTTCTGGATATATCTTATATTTCAGAAAAATAAGAGAAGGATAAGATTGGAGGAATAATTATAATGGAGGGCAAAATGGTCCAGAAACTTGGTAACACACGTGCTGCCTTCTCTTTTAGCCACCTGATTCACTCCCTCAATTATCAGCTGATCACCACGCATTTTAACTCATTTTCATCAGTCTGCAACTTGAGAGAGAGCACGAGAGAGGGAGAGACCGAGAGGAAGAAGTTGGTGACGGAGGTGGTGATCGGAGGAGCTACACTTGCATGCAAACTTGGATTCTGAATCAGGTGAGCTTCACGTGTCCACTACTGTCTTCCTTTTCTGGTTTCGGTCATATTTCCGGTGATGTTGAGGAGAGAGAGACAGAATTGTAGTGAGAGAAAGTGATGGAAAGGATAAGAGGACCGATGGATTCGGATTCTATGGGTAGATTGAAGTGTTTGATGTTGGCTTTTAAGCTTGCATGTCTTTTCTTTGCCTCTGTTTTATACCCGAAAGGTGTGTTTGTGTATCCGATCGCTGTAGGTGTATGTGTATACCGAATTCTTGCTCTGTGTTGGCCGACTTCTGAATATATATATATATATATGTATGTATGTATATAACTAGCTAGCTGTGTTAAATGTAGGATAGTGATTTTGGATCTGTTTGAATGGGGAGAACAGAAGCTTGTGTGTGTGTGTGCTTGTTGCTGTCGTGAGGCTTGAATTCATGGAGCTAGGGATATAGTCGCTGGTTTATAGGTACCGAGACAGGGGCTGTTGTATTTGTGAAGTTTCTGTTTTAGTTTTGGATAATAGAGGGGAATGAAACACTTAAATGCTAGAGTAAATAAGCTATATATATATATATATATATATGTATATATCAGCGCGCGCGGGGATGCCATGGCTGATTTGAATTAGTTCTTGGAGTTAACAAGAGGAAACGTGTGTGTGTGTGTATGCTTCGGTTGCATTGTACTAAATCCAGAAAATTTTCCTAGCTACCGAAACATAAATGGAGAATAGAAAATGTTAGTATGGGCCATGGATTAAGCTTATATGAGAGGATTTTGGGGCTCTGTTAGGATATATATGTGTGTGTGTGTGTGCACGTGTCATATTATGATTTGTTGGGCTGGAATTTGAAGCTAAGTACCAATGTGAAGCATACTGTTAGATGCTTTTAAGTGTTAAAAATTATTTTAGATGGTACAACTAAGTGTAGACACTTTAGAATGATAATTCAAACATTATTCTTGATTTGGAAATTTTATGAAATTAAGAAAAGGGATAGATAGTGTTTCAATTGTAAGGAAATTAAGGAGAATAATGAGATGTTCAAATAATATAAGATAGATAAATATAAATATATATTTTAGCTGTTGCTGTATAAAGAGTGGGTCTTCTTTTAGATGAATAAAGTGGGTTCAAGAATTCAAAGATGATGGTTTAAATGTGCTTGAGCTGGGAATTAATTTGATGCTGCTGTTTTATGTTTCTTGACGCCAAGAAATTGTTTTAGAAAGTTAAATGAGGAGTTGAATAGAAACATTTTTCAGATTTGAGGTTAAAGTTGCTCAAGGGAATAAAAGGGTGCATATGAGGTATTACATGTGGGAGTTCAAATATGGAAGCTGAGAACAATATATATATATATCTCACTGATTGATGCTTTGAATTGTTGATAGTGTTGCTATTAGGAACCTTTTCATTGAAAGGACAAATTACAAGTTCAATAGACTTAAGATTACTTGACTGAAACCCAATGAGGAGGATATAAGTATGTTAATATGTGTGATTGAATACGTATTTATAAATGAGTACATGTAAGACATTCGGACTTTTTACTTGATTGAAACTTAAGTAAGAGGACTTGAAAACATATGCATGTGTATGCGTTTGAGATGTAAATAGTTAGGGGTTGTAAGTTGAGTTGCGGACATTGTCCTTAAAATATAATAAATAGAAATAGTATTTTTGACCAAGATGACTAGTTACTAAGTAAAGTAACTGTTTGGGTTGAGATAAGGAAGGAAACCCTCCAAAGAGAAAAGTTTAAATAAGAAAAATTGTCCAGGATGACCAACTATTAAGTAAGGGTAGAGATTAAAAGAGATTGGGATTTAAAGAGAGTTATTTAAATTAAAAATTATGTTGGATCAAGCATTAACCTACCCTTACTAATAGGTTTTGATATCTGCAAAAGCCCACCGAAGAAGCTAAGAGAAAGGAAGCAAGTAAGGTTTGATTTTGAAGCGGAAGGTTCAAGTAGTAGTTCTTTCCTACCTTACATTTGTGTATGATTACTGCATGTCTATTTGTGCCATATTGCTATTTAAAGCATGAGAACATGTAATCCTTATTTCCTTGCATGGATTATTTAGCCGTGATCATGTGTAGCTGATAGATATGGGGCAGTATCTGCCAATTATTTACGCATTATTTATTCAGCTTGTCTATCTGTCATTGCGCATAAATGCTTAATTGCATTAGCTTGCAAAGTTATGTTCCACTTTGGCTTGTTTTGCATGCTTTATGTAATCTGCATATATGTTTGATGGAAATTACTACTACTGGGATTCGTTTCAATCTCACCCTCCCTTCCTATATTATACAGCCAGGGCAAGCAGTTCCAAGGGTAAGGAAGTCGTAAGAGCTGAAGGTGGGATTATATGAAGAGCAGGAATGCCTGCTGCTTTTGTATCTGCAAGATAATTATTTTGCTAGTTAATTATCTGACTTATTAGATGTTTAAGAGCAAGTAACCTTTACTTGCTAGTATTTATACTATTTTTTATCCTCCATAAGGAGGTATGTACTTCCGATGCCCAGGTAAAGGTCATTGTCCTAAATGGCGAATATAATTACTTATATAAATGTAGTATTATTTTAAATCTGTGTCTGTCGTATGAGCTGCAGGAGCAAGGTTTAAGTGTGTGAATCACTCGTCAATGTTTTCTTTAAAAAAAAAATTTCTTTCATTTTTATAATAGAACACTAGCGTCTAGTGATTCACAGATGTTAAATGGACCCTGTTAGTATATATAGAGGTAAGGTGTTGCATCGAGCATATGTCACAGATTAAAAAAAATTTAAAACTGTATTAACTCTCTATCAAATTATAAAATTTTTTAAAATTTATCCCTATTTAATATATACATCTTT